CGATTACGAGAGGGGAGAAGGTCAGGGCCTGCGCGGGCAGGAGGGAAGGGAAGGGGGCACGGACCGCGCGAGGGGCGCCGCGTCGGCCCAGACGCGCGCGAGGGCGGCGGGCGTGCGCAGCCAGTATGTGGCGGCGGCGCCGGGGAACACGAAGCGGAGCTGGCGGGCGAGGTGGCCGGAGGACATGGTTAGCGGAGGTGATGCTGGTGATGTCGGTGGGTGGCGGCTGAGTGCGCGGGGCTCCCTTGCGACATGTGCATGAAATGCGCCAAAGGCGAGAATCACATGCGAGCGCTTCGTGCGCGTGCCTGGCAGCCGCCACTGGCCAGCCAGCCCAGAACCGTCCTCCTCTGCTCCCGCCACGTTCTGGGCGTGCAGCGGACGCACGACCCCAGATAAGACTGCGAGTCGAGGTGTGGCAATCCTGCGCGCGATTACTGTATTATTCTAGTTTATGGCCGTTTACACAAATGACAGTTGCGTCTCATAGTCTGTGGGTCCACCAACACAAACCCAAGCACTTCCACGTCCATCCAAGCGGCGGGGTATGTACAACGCAACGCTCACGCCGCAAGCAGAGCAGCGACACTGATCAGGCCCAGTATGCCTACCGCGGCGCCGGGCGCAGCGCCACGTGCAGCCGCGTTGCTCTTCACCGACGCCGAGCGGCTCGGCGCGGGCGCACCACTCGACGATGAGCTCGCCACCGCCGACTTCGGGCTCTGCGTCGCGGCGTTCGAGGCGGCAGCAACGGAGCTCGTGCCGGTCGAAGACGGCGCAGACGACGTGCCAGAGGTGACGGCCGCGACGCCAGGCGACGCCTTCACGGAACTGTGGCGCGCAATCCATTAATACGGGTTCATCGGAGACAGGCTGGATGGGTGTTGCTCACCTCGTCGAGGTGCTGTTCGAAGCGTTGCCTTCCATGACGTCGCCGTTGACGCAACTGTACGTGGACGTCTATCAGCCTGTGCGCGTGCGCGGGTGCTAGCCGGCTTACCTAGTGTCGCTGCCCGACTGAACGGTCGCAGGCGCGGAGAACGCCTGCTGGCCATTGCTATCTTTGAGCATGACGGTGCTTTCGACGCAGGCATGAGCGGACTATCGCGCGCATGACGAGCACGATTCAACGAGACGCACAAGGCAGTGCCGACGGGCAGGTCGACCTTGGGCCAGGTATAGCTGGTGCCGTCCTGGGTGGGGAATTGCTTGAGCTGTGGTAGGGTGAGGTCAGTAGGCAATGCACACAACATGGGACACAGAACGTACGGCGGGTGCAGTGGGCTGACCAGCTGTCCGCCCGGGGGGGGGGATGTCAGAGCGTATCGGGGATAGAACGTTCAGCCACTTTACCAACGCCAAGGGAGAGAAAGTAGGGCCCTGTGCTGCCCTCGGGGCTCCATGTAAGCTGCAAGGGCTCTGTGCAGCAAAATCAGCCCCGAATGCACGTAGAACGATGGCCAAAGCAAGCACGGACGGCATACGACGGCGAGTCCTCTGGCGGGAGACGCATCAGTCATGTCGGTACGGCCCAAGATCATTGTCACCTACGGCGTATTGACGGTAGCTGCAGACGCGACAGCAACGAACGCAGTCAAGACGACGAATGACTTCATGGCGGGCTGAATTATGAACTGAAAAAGGTCGTTCAAAATAGGCTTATAAGCTAAGGGGTGTAACGGTGTCTGGGCGTGAACGGAGAGAAAGAAAGGAAGCCAGATGTGAACGGATGAGTGCCTTGCTCATCGTACAAAGCTGCGGATGGTGAAGCGGAGTTCAGTGGTCCGCGGTGTACGCCGACCGTTTGGAATACAAGATCCCTCAAATGACGTTCAAAGATCAGCTGGTCTGGCGTTGCGTGTATATAGGCCTGAGCGTCGCATTGCACAGGTATCGGGCTACAGTGATACAATCCAATAAGTAGTTAGTCTTCCTTTGTAAATATGATCAGCACAAATGTCCGCATGTACACGGCGATAACATAGCGAACGACAACACACCGGCCCCCTCCTAGTCCAGCCCCATCACCTCCACGACAACGTTGATCCCCATGATCACCGTGTAGCAGCAAATGAGAAATATACCCCATTTCCGTGGCAGGAAATAGTTGTTCATGGGGACGAAGACGACTGTTACGAGTAGGAGCGCAAGAAGCCCCACCGCGCTCACGAGGAGAGTCCTCGAGAACTGCAGCTCGTACGGCTGGCCTGTCTGCTGGATGATGTACGAGCCAGAGATGCCCACGCCAAGCAGCATGTTGAGCATCGGTCCGCCGAAACACGCCGAGAAACCCATGATGGGAGCGAAGACCTATTCATGCGTGAGGCTACAATCCCGTGACGAATGGACAGACACGTACGGCCACGCTCATGTTCGCCACCAGATCGGCAAGTGAGTTTCCGACGGCGAATATCGTGAGTCCAATAATCGCATCCGACAATCCGAATATGAAACCAAAGGTCTGCGGACGTAAGTCCCCATTGCACAGAGATGTCGCATGTCGACTCACCTGCAAGACGCTGACGACCTCGTCGGCGATGGCCATAATCCAAACCATGGCAACAAGGAAGCCCATGGAGCAACGCGCTAAATGCCACTCTTGGCGTTTGCCATTGTCGGCGAACAGTACCACTAGCGATCCCGCCGCGAGACCAGCCAGCCCGACGCCAAGAAGGAACCACCGCTCATGCACCGTGCCCTCTGTAAGCCGTCAATCTCCGTTCAGAGGATCGTAGCAACAGTAACTCACTGAACAATACAGCAACGCAAAAGAGCGGACCGAGTGTGCACTGGATGGCCATCAGCCACTTGTTGAACCGGAGCTCGTGCATCTCCTCCTGGACTTCCTCCTCGGCGATCAGAGCACGCTCGATGCCATCCTCCTCGAAGCTGGACAACCGATCGTTGATGCTCGGCGCCTTTTCATGCCTATGGTGCGAACTGTCGTACGGCTTGACCACGACGGGCAACGTGATAGTCAACGCAAACACCGCCGGCGTGGCGAAAATAGCCGCAATCTTTCCGAGCAGTCCCTTGGAGCGGAATGCATGCAGTGTTGGGAAGAAGATGTGGAACGCGCGCGCGAGGATATGACGCATGTTTTGGCGCTCAAACAGCACAGCGTGGTGGGGAGCGTCCCCATTTGCGTCGGGGCGTGGAGAGGCAGGCGTGGTATGAATCTCGGGGATTGGTGGCTGGGGCCCGTCCTCGCCCTCAATAAAAATAAGGGGTGACTCTGCCGGGCGGGGGGCCGAATCGTCGGCTGGAAGGGCATGCGAACCAGGTAAAGGGGAGCGGTCATTCAGCGGAACATCTGACGAGATGTCGAATGGATTCGTCTCTCCGCTGTAGATCGAACCACGCGATAGTGATCTAGACTGTCTGAAACTGTGGTAATGTCCACCGGGGTATGGCGTCAGTGGTGGCTCGAACGCGTTCAGGGAAGATCCAGCAGCCTCATGCTGTAACGATGAGACCACTTTGCGGAATTCGAGAGCGCCGACCAGAGAGAAGGAGGGCATGGTGCTCAGATGTGGCGATGGGGATGGGGATCTGGAACTCGCTTGCGAGTCGAAAGAGTGGCGGCGCGAAAGTTCCGTCTGGACGCCAAGATGCGGTACCGAACGGCGCGACGATAGATGCGGACCAGAGCCCGGGACGAGCAGCGATGGGGAACTTGCAGGCACAGGTGCTGCTAGCAGGGGAGATGAGGACAAGATCACGTATGGATCTGGCGTTGGCACTCACGTTCATCTCGGTACGGCTCCTCGTCATGATAAGGTGATATACCTTCTTCAGCATACTCGCCACGTATCTGGGCATCCAAGGAACGCTTCCGCTCTTGCTTGCGTTCCCACCAGCTACCCACAACTACAATCAAGACGTACACGAAGTACAACAGCACAAGGAGGCCTGCCTCCCACGCGTATATCCAGCCGTCGATGAGGATGACGAGTAACGTGAAAACAGCAGCAGCGAAGAAGATGACGTCGCGTAGGAAAGGGCCGCGATTTACTCGAAAAGGTTTGATGATGCACATGGAGCCCACGACGCACGAGACTATGAACGACGCCGCACCAAGGAGCTCCCCGATGGCCAGACTGCCAGAGTCTGTGCGCATGGCGGAGAATGTTGCGAAGACGTCCGGACTGCCGTTTCCGAAGGCGAGGAATGTGACGCCGGCGACATTTTCATCCAGGCCCAGGAGCTGCGCAATGGTTGCGAGATTGGGACAGAAAAAGTCTGAGGCGCTGATACCGAGGGTGGAAAATAGAAATATCAGCCAGACCAGGAGGCCGGCGAAGACGAAAGGCCGGCTGGCGACGCTGGCGCAAAAATAGGTCCGCAGATAGGGGATGGAAAGGAATGTGCCAGGCTCTGGGCAGTGGTTGGACACAGATTCGCATTGGTCGGGCACAGGAAGAGCTATAGGCCGGCACTACAACAAGGTAAGTAAGGAAAAGAGCCATCCAGTGTTGTGCTGCGCACCTCCTTCTCGTCCTCCAACACGCCGTACTGGCTGTGCGCCAGTAACCCGAGCAGGCTCCGCTTAGCAGGGTGGTGGGCTGAGGCTCGCAGTGCCCTGCCGTCGCGGGCTATGTGACCGTAATTGCTGCGCGACCACAAAACTGCATTGAGGACTAGTAGCGCAACGAACGCGACTTTGGTCGTGATGTAGGGCATTTCAAGGGCTCAGTAGAGGTGCAGGAGCATTGCAGTGTGTGTGCAAGCGACAGGCCGCCACCTCTGGGAATGAATGGACGTGAGAAGATTACCTCATCCGCCCCTGGATCCTGCCTGACCCAACTGCTCCCCCGCGAAAGAAATAAGCGAGGCACAAGACGTCCTGATTTCAACCACCTTGACTTTCTGTAGGCATAGGTAACCGCAAATAATAAGAACGAAAGCGATGCGCGCTTGCAGCAGGCGTACCGTGACGTTCAAGAGAGGAGTTTGTCAGAAAAGCCATTATATTGTACCAGTTCGCCGATCGTATCAAGCCTTCGATAGCTCAGTTGGTAGAGCGTGGGACTGTAATAGGAAACATCTTGCTATCCCAAGGTCGTCGGCTCGAATCCGGCTCGAAGGAGATTTTTTACCCTCCTCTACCATCCCAATCTCCTCAATCTCCTCGGCCGAATTGGTTTCCAGGGCAAGTCAATTTTTCCGATTCATCCCTCGAGATCACTGTACTATAAATATGCCAGTATGTATGCGACATGGGTAACAAAGACCAGTAGCGATACGTCCATTAGCCCTGCAATACTTTTTACATCCACAAACCCGTATCGAAACACCACAGTCGTTGGTCAGAGTCCAATCCAGCTGCTTCTCCCACCTGGGTTGTGCAGAGACGTCTGCCCGATTTTGACCACCCCGGTTTCTATTTTGGACACTTCCTCAACCCGCCTCGTCACCTCCTTGACCGGCCGATCTCCAGATGCGAGGAAAGGGTTGTCGATTGCGTCGACAAGCGGGCTGGGCGGCGCAAACGGCGTCGACGCCGCAGCCATGAAAGATCCACGGCCATCGACCCTGGGCAGAGGTCCGGGCCTCGCCTTCTCGGCAAGGGGGCGGAACACCGGGAGGAACGACTCGGCGTACCATTCGTACCACACCTGGCGCTGGTTCGTCTGGCGCCAGATGGACACCTGGAGCTCGGAGTTGCTGGGGAGGTACAGTGGTTCCTGGCAGCGCCTCATGAGAATGATGCAGCGATATGCTGCGTGAGCTTACCTTAAGGGGGAAGAACAATGGGAACCAGCTCAACATGTCCTTCGAGATGAGATCCTTCCGCTGCGGGTGGATACTGAGTCCGACCTCCCCATACAATACGGCCTCGAAGTAGCCAGCTAATCCATGGAGCACGCCCGCATGTGGGATGTGAAAAGTCAATTTGGCGGACCGAACGTTGTGACTGTTCGTTAGTGGCAGTCCTGCGAAGACGTAAAACTGTCAACCCATGGTCTCAGCCGGAGACCGGAAGGCGCACCCCGCTCATCCAGCACGGCGTCGCGCCTCGGGTGTTCGAACTCCCAGCATTCTTGCACTTGCGCACCGCAGCGGTCACCCTCAGCTTCGCCTCCGTGGCCGCTGAGAATATTGACAGCCTGAAACATCACGACGTATGGCGTCTCTGACGCCTTCTCGTCCTTTCCGGTGCGGACCTCGTTCCACAGTTTAGATGATGACAGTGGAGCCAGATACGCCGTATAGGACGAGGGGATTGAGATTCCGGTCGCTGTGTAGGCGCTGGATCAATCCGCTGGAGACAAAGAAGCACCGCGAACATACATTTGAGGAAACGCATCGCGCCGTCTAAGCATTCTGGGCTGAGTTCGTTGTCGCCGAAGGACCCCAACAGTTCGCTGACGAGGATGTCCGCAGGTTCCGGAACTGAAAGGAGACGCATGTCGCCAAAGAGTAGGTCCACTTTCTCTTTCCATTCTGAGGCCTTGCGCCGCTGCAGCCTAGGGGGTAGTCAAGTCATGTGTTCGTGGCGACGCTTTTGGTCATAGCCACGGCAAAAACTCACGTCACATACGCGCTCGAATTCTTCTCAATCGCGTATACGGCCGCATTCCGCTGGGCGCGCTCAATGGCCTTCAAACACCGCGCGACGAGGGGTCCGCGACCAGCTCCTGCGACGCAAATAACTCTGAAGAACAGCGTGAGCGCCTTCGTACGCTTTCCCCATTTCGAAGACACCTACATCCTCTCTGATGGTGGCCACTCGGATAAAGCTACGAACACTGCCTTGGAGAGAATAGGCATAAGGTTCACCAGCGATATCAGATGTACCCTCACCTCCTCATACTTCTGATACTTTACAGGATCTTGTTCAAACATCTGATATGTGATTCCCTGTAAATTGTCCATAAGGGGCTAGTGATGGGTCAGTGTGTCGTTCATGTGACCACACTGGCGAAGTGCATCCGACCTGCAGAGGCGCTTGTAGATAGTCTTGGTACCCCCGCCCGAAGTTCTCGACAGTGCCTTCTGTCTTGGCTTGTACGACTGCGGGGCTGGTTTTGTCGAGGTGGCGCATGTATTGCAGATACGCGACTTCGCCGCCTTTCGTATGCAGGCCGGCGGTAGTATTTGACAGTATGATAACTGGCCGATGCTTGAAGAGGAATCAGTACGAATGTTTCGAGGAGCGCCGGCCGGCGCTAACTTACCTTCATTACGTCGCGGATAAACGATTGAGATCCCTTGGGGAGTACCGGGTATCCTTTTGCATTTGCTATGAAAGTTGATGCGGGTATGAACAAATGTCTGATAGGCTCTGCAGCCCATCGGTTCAAGACGCCTGACGCGGACGGTAGGGGAGGCGTGAGGTCCAGAGCTAAACGGCGAGATGAGTCAGATCTCGACCACTGCGTCGATACGCCCAGGTATGCACTTAAGGTTAGCCGCGGGTTGTAGGCACAGATGGTCCGTATGATATCCCACATCTCCCATGTGGCGTTCAGCTCGGCCTCTGATGCTCTGGTAGACGGTGCAGCCCTGGATTCCGATGTACGGACCTCGGGCGTTGATGGTCGAGACGAAGACGAAATTGAGGACTTTGTTGGAGACGGGCTGTCGGGCAGGAAGCCAAAAGCAGAGCGTGGAGAGGGACTAGACTGAAAGATGGAAGGGTCGTATATGGGAAGTCGGATGGAGAATTGCATGTACGGCGTCCGCGAAAGGCAACTGTTGACCGCACGTCCATACGCTGCAATCTGGCTGCGATTGCGTGGAGGCGGGAAGATGGCTGTCTGCACATCTAGATACGAGGCATAGGACAGCTCCTGCTGCAGGGCCTGGGGAAGCAATCCGACGATAAGGACCGCGGCGAATCTCGTGATGAGGCAAAGACAAAAGACGAATGGAGAAACTAGCCAGTTGAGGCACGATGGGGAGCACTCACGATTTCAGAGTCGTGTCGAACCCAGTCGTCTGACGCGTCCAATTCTAACCAGTCGGAGATCACGACTGCGACGCCCTCCGCCTCCTCTGGCCCACATGGCCCGTCAGCAGATGCAGGGCTGTCTAGTTGTGGTACTCACCGAGCCGTGTCATGGTCACCTCCCCCAGCTCGAAGACAGGGCTCGCTCTCCAGAGTTCAGCATGCTGTTCCGCACCCTCATTCTTTGCGCCCGCGGTGTCTGATGATATGATGCACATGTCTCTCCATCGATCTTTCCATTTGGCAGTGGTGAGTGGCATACAGACCGCGTCGTATGTCCGGGATCGTGCATCATCAACAATCAGGGAATCCTGCGGAGCCAGCAAGCGCTTCTCGAGGTCACTTGACGAGACGAAGGCTGCAACGAGCGCGGGGCTTTCCCAGGAAGCCATGGATGGAGGACTAAGGATATGTATCTGGAGGTTCGGTGCCGAGTAGGATGGGCTGGTGTGGGCCGAGCCAGACCGAGCCGCAACTTGATCAAGTGTTCCGCCAGCACGGATTGATCCAGGAACCGCGATCACTACACTACATAGCTAGCACTGTTCCGCGTAGTACGTCCAGCGCGGTAGAGCTCACTTTGTCTCTGCCCGTCGCTCGCTACCAAATAGACCCCAAATCCCTTGCGTCATCAATCAAAAGATCAAATGAACTCGCTATGACATGTCGACGTCTACGGACGTAGACGCCCAGTACGTTCAGTTGCCGGCCTATAATCCAACCGGTCTGTGTTCTATGATTCGACTAGACCGCTCGTCGCCGCCGTGCACAGGAGCAGCTGATGTTGTGCTCCGAGTGCATCAGCAATGCGATGATCCTTAGCTATCGTTCCGACTCAGGTACGAATGCGGGCATCTTGGTACGCTATGTACGTTCCAGCCATATATACGGGACCTTGCATTATCCCTTTGTTGGTATAGCCCCATGGCTTCTTATCTCAGAGAAGCCAATCTACGTTTTTGGCAGGCCGAAACTCAGAGACAGTTGAAACGTTGACGCCGGTGCTCGTGCTGCATGGCCATCAAATGTCAACAAATGCACTTCAGCCTGCCCCAGTGCACCGCACGCCGGTTTCCAAGATAATCGAAATCACGCGCACGCCGCTACGGTACGCGCATTGGCCGACAAAAGACTGCCAGGCAGCAGATCGCCCGCACCTGCAGGCATGATCCAGACCCTTTTTGCGGAGTCCATCACCTGTGGTACCTAGGCTGAGATTTCCTCGGACGTCCGCGCCAAGTCAGTGTCAAGTCCCGAAGAGATAATTTAAGTGCCTTTCTGTGCCTTGTTATTTTAGACACTACCTGAAGATAAGTGTAGGGCCACTCTTACCCCGCAGTCTGTGAGCTTGTTGTACACGAGCCTTGCGTCGGCCGCATACGTCCAGTTGATCTGATCAGAACCACTCGTTAAGGCCGCGTACATCCGCATAGCATAAGTATTCTTGTGGAAACTATCTCAGAGTGGTCCGTCAGGCTCGTCTAATCGCCTGCGTTTTGTAACATCCGCGTCTCCATGCCGCACATCGCTGTCACGGGTTTCCGGGTCACCTTCTTGGTTAGCCATGCTGTACCCAGTGACCATGCCTTCCAATACTGTGTTGCTGACGGCTTGCCTGAGTTCTTCTTCTCGCCGGCTCTCGCTTCCTCCGTCTTGCTCCCGCTGTACGATATCTCTCAACTGATTTAGAAGTGAGGAAGTGAGGAGCTCCGACACCGCTTCCTGGGAGTGCTGAGAAGGCTGCGCCGCTGGGCCAAGCTCGCTGTGATTCCCAGCTAGCCCATCTCCAGGGCTGGGGGTTTGGATGCCGTTGACAGTGTTCAGATAGGCCGCTACTTCTAGAAAATCTTCTGCAAGGTGTTCGGCTGGCTACGCGCGGTGAGTCACGCAGTCTGCAAAGAGAGTACGTTAAACGACATACCGACAGGCCTTCATGATTCCGCCATGCGGCGTCTGCGCCGTTGTTAATGAGAAATTGCGCCGTCTCTACGTTCTCAACCGTATAGAGAGGCGTATCGCCATCCTCATCTGTAATGTTGACATTGCCACCTGAGATGCTGGCTCAGTATTTGTAAGGCATTGTGGCTGGGCGCGCAGACCTTCGGAAATGAGATATGTCAAGATGTCCAGATGGC